TGTTCCCGCACATCTGCCCTATCATTATGCCTCCTTCCTCGTTTGCCTCCACTTTCAGTTCCACCTCCCTTTCGGGACTCCTCCTAGTCCTCCTGTTCAGTTCGTCCATTCCCATCCGCATCATTATCATCCACTTTCCGCCGCATTTTGCGCATTCATCATCCCCCCCTGTCCTCCTCTGGACCCACCCATCTCATCGTCATCTTCTTCATCGTCGACGTCTTCCTCCCGAGTATCGTCTACTTATGGCTGCTGCTGGTGAGTTGTTGCCGGTGGAAGCGTTTCTTCTGCTCGTCATCGCCCGCCTTTCCCGGTACCCGTCCCGTTTCCCGCATGCACCCTTCCACTCCTCTGTCGCTTCCCTCCGCCACTTCCCCACCAGTGCACTCTTCCCAATCAGCGCGCTCTTCTTCCCCGTCATGTGCATCATCATTCCCATTACCAGCATCATCGCCATAACCATCACCATCATGGGTTGCCGTTTTGACTCAGAGCGGTTTGCGCGGCGTCAGTCACTGCAGAGCTGTGTTTGTCATCCCCAGCGCATCCCCGCGTCCCGCTGCAGTGTGCGCGCGAGTCCGCGATCTGCCCCCCCCCCCCCCCCCCACACCCCCACACCCCCACGTGGCACCGACGCTTCCGCCGCCGCCGCGACCACGCGATTCGGACACTGCGCCGAGGCGGTCCTCGACTAGGTCACGACGACTTTCGTGCAGCGGCCTCGCGGCTTTTGGCTCATCACGGCTCGGCGCATCCGTTTTGGGTCATGAGTGTCAATCCTCCTGGGGTTCGTGACGCATCTGCGCCATGGAAGCGAACCGACCACCATCGTGGCCCCATTGGACAGCGGCCTGCTGCGTGAGAGTGGCGACCAGGCTGTGCGGGTTTAACGGCAACTGGGTTGGGCGCGCCCATTACCTGTGGTGCGGGCGCGACCAACAAGGTCGTCCTGGGCCCAACAACGTCAGGCCGAGCGGCCTCGATGCTGCAGGCAACGCGCCTGCTGGCAGTGGCAGCAGGCGAACTCGCGGCGGCTTGGTTCGCTCCGCAGCGCCTACCCCTGCGAAGGACGACCCCGACAGCATGGGCCTCGAGGAGATGCGCAACGGCAAGATTCAGCGGCGCCGACGCGGCACCGGATCCCTGCGCAGGCACAGGCACGGCGACGACTCCGCGGTCCTCAAGGCTACCCTCGCGGAGCTCGCCCAGGCCGAGCGCGACGAGAAGGCTGGCCTGGCGCCCGAGGAGGTCCTCAAGGAGGCTCTTCACGAGGCGAACTCGAAGCAGGCGTTGGTGGCAAAGTTCAGGCGCGATTTCGACTGCATCAGAAAGGAGCTCGAGCCGAAAGGGGCTGCCTACAAGACCGGCGAACAGGAGTTGGTCCCGTTGCAGGCGAATGTCGCGAACGCCATGGCGCGCGTCGTCTAGGTTGCCACCGACGACGCAGCCTCCTCAGCCCCTGGCCTCACCGACGCCCTCGCGCAGGTACATGTCCTCCCCGACAGCGTGGGCAGATCCGTTCTGCCAGGCAGCGCCCCCGCCATGTCGGCAACCATCGAGGACCAGCTGCAGCGCTTCGGGGCCCAGAAGGAAGGCGCGGCGGTGGCTGCTTCTGCTGCTGATGGGCCCGGTGATAGCACAGTCGGGGCGGGGCAGAATGGGCGCGCGGCGAGCGCCCCCAGCTCATCTGCCCCCCTGGCAGCTCCAGGACCTCCCCGAGGGCCAGCTCGCCCGGGCAGAGTTTCCGCCCCAGCGCAGCTGGTTTAGCAAGGAGCTCGAACGCGCCGGGAGCGAAGGCAGCAGCAGGAGGTCCACGCGCCAAAGTAATCGCGGCGGTTCCAAGTTCATCGCGTTGAGCATTCAATCGTGGATCGTGGGCAAAGGCCAAACAGCTCCTGAACGGCGGCGGCTTGCTCGCCGGCGCCGTCTGCCTCCAGGGGCTGAGGCTCGCGGGCGATCAGCTATTGCATGCTGCGGAGCGGCGGGCGCGCCGCGGGCGGCAGCCGCTCTTCCTCGAGGCCAAGCTGTCACGCGCAGGCCGCCCGATTGGCGGCGCGGCCGCGGCCGCGACTGCTCGCGTCTCCGCGGCCGCTTTTGGAAGAGCCCCTTTTCGGCGACGGCGTCTAGGCGATCCCGGGGCGCGCGGCGCTGGCCCACGTCGAGTGCGCCATGAGAGGGGGTGCTCATCGCGAGTGCGGTCTAAACGAACAATGACGAGCGCTTCAGCATAGACGATGCCCGCGGGCTTATAGGGGCTGCGGAGGCCCTGGTGCGCAACGTCGGGCCGTTCGTTATTGAAGGGGGCTGGAGCACGCTTCCAGAGGCCCTGCTCTCCAACGGCGTCATCCGGCAAGCGCCCGGCGCGCCCGGTCACCCAGCCGCAGGGACATGGCCGCGCGCGCAGCGGAGGCCCACGTGCGCGCGTTGTTTGACTATTGGTGGGCCCAGTGTCTCGCACCGCCAGCGTCAAACCCTATGCCTGTGGACAAGCGGCCTGCTTGGACGCGCTTCCCGGCGCGCGCGGCTACCCGCGCGCTCGAGGCCCCCCCCGCCCCGGGCCCCCCCCCTGGGCCCGCCCCAGCCGACCGATTTCGAACGCGCGGGTGAGATTGCCAGCGGCGCCCAGCAGCGGTCGGCGACGCTATCAGACGTTGAGAAGGACCGGCGCACCACAGCGGCCAGGCGGAAGGGCCCGGGCGCGCGCGACGCCCCGCAGGCGGCGGCGCCGTCCCGCTCTCGAGGCCCGCGGCTTCCACGCGAGCGAGGGCGTTGCGGCTCCCCCAGCGCGCAGCGGGCGACCCGCGCTCGCCGAAGGCGCTGCCACGGGGCGCCCCCGCAGCGCGCGCGCTCAGCGATGCCCGCCGGGCGCCAGGCAGCGACCGCGCCATTATGGGGCCCATCACCAGGGCCAGCGTCGGGGGCGTCGGGCGCCCGTGCTCGCGACGGCCCACTGCGTCCCCAGCGCGTAAGCCAGGGCCATCCTCGTAGGTGGGCTCGAGCCTCGGTTGGGTGATCTGGCCCAAATCGAGGAGAGGGCGCGCGCCGTCGCTTGCCAGCAGATCTTCGCGGCGCGGGCCAAGGAGAAAGCCATTGGCCGCCCGAAGCTGATCCGCGCGACCAAGCAGCCGAAAGGCTGGGCGCCCGCGCAAACGAACCGCATCGGCGCCAAGTCGTCGGCCCCAGGCGACGCGGCGCAGCCCCCGCGGGCCAGGCGGACGGGCATTTGGGCGGGTGGAGAATTCAGTGACGGCGCGGAGATATCCAGGGCCAAGATGGAGGCGAACCAGTCCTGGGCCTTGGGGCAGATCGACGCCGCGGAGGCGCACCCCCTGGCGGCGCGGCAGCTGCGGCGGGCGGCCAGGGCATTCCCGCGGTGGACGTGGCCGGAGCCCGATGCGTTTCAGCCGCGGCACTGGGAGAGCGCCATCCGACCTGCAAGGGGCAACAGAGAATATGGCATGAATGTTGTTTGTTTTTGCCGGGCAGAATTTCCGAGAAAGGCCGGCCGATTGGGTTTTGCGTCGCGCGCCTGTCACCCCTGGCGTCTGACCACTGCGCCCCTGGCCCGCGCGGAACCCGAAAAACGCCGAATGGCGCCCGGGCAGGTCGCGGGAACGGGCAGGCGCGCGAGCGCCCGCCCAGCCTGGTCGGCGACCCCCGAGGGCCCGATCGGGCAGGGCCGACTGGGCCGACTGACGCCCGGATATACTTATGCGAAGGTTTTGCGTGGCAGTTGCGTCTTCTCAGGGCGTTGCCTTTTCTGGCCCCCCTCGGGGCCTGGGGTGTGTTTTCGGCCCCGTGTCACGTTTGAGGGGCGTGAGCTTGTGTGGGGCCTTTCGCGGTCGTCGATCGGGCGCCCGCGCCCCTGACGGCCGTCGCGAAGGCTCGGGGCCCATCGTTCGGTAGGCGGCATGGGAAGTGCGATTCCGTTCGGAGATTCGCAGAGCGGTGCCGTCTGAGGATGCGCAGAACATGCCCCGGAGGGGGCCATCGACGGCGCCGACCGGCCAGCGGGGGCACTGGCCCCGAGGCGAGCCTTCCACCAACGATGGCGTTGGGTTTTGGTATTGTCCGTTGTCTGTTTAGACCAGATGCTGGCCGCGCTGGGCTCGCTGCTTCGCGCGGTGGAGGTCTGGGGCCGCTGGCCCACGCAAGTCTCGCTCGCGCGCGCGTGGCCATGCTCCCGAGGGCCGGGGTGGGCGAAGGGGCCCCGCTCAACGCGGCCACTGACTCATTCCGCCCCTGCGCTCGCTCCGCCGGCTCTGAGCGCGCAGCCGCGCAATCGCTATCAGAGGATGCGCGAGGCTTTACCGGCAGCCCTGGATGGCGCGCGGCCAAGGCAAGGCCACCTTGGGCGTCGCCACCATGGCGCCGGCGCACGGGGAGGCGAATGACGACGCCCATGTTCCCATTTACATCAAGAAGTGCTTTGACAAGGCGAGGTGGCACTTGATCCTCACGCCTCCATCTGCTCGCTCTACGTCTTCAGGCTGGCCCCCGGGCCCCGCCGAGGAGCGCTCGGGAATTTGGGCGCCCCTCGGGGACGCAGCCGGCCCGGGGCGCCCTGCCAGGCTGCGTCTTCGCAATGGCCCCAGCTCATCGCGATGAAGACAAAGTAGCGATGCACTGCCAGGCGCCAGGAGCGGTCACTGATGGCCAACAGCCAGGACATTTTCGTCGGTGACCGCACGAGACCCACGATGGGGCTCACTCAGCAGAATGCGCCTTGGACCATCGACCTTGGCTGACCTCGCGATCGCCCCTGGCGGCGGACAAGGTGATCATTGCAGTTTCGCGATGTCGGGAAGGCAGCGGCTGCTATGCTCAGGGGTTTGGCCTCGGGTACGCATCAGGGCAGAACCTGCTCGGGGCGGAGGTGCGCGCTGGCCAGCAAGTCAAATTCGGCGCTCTCAAGCGGCACATGAATGCGGCGATGGGGGGGGGAGGGGGGGCTCGAGCGTCTCGGGCAGCTGCGCGCGCCAAGTTGTTGCGCGCGCAGGATGGCGAGGGAGGCGCTACCGCCTGCCGCGGAGCGCGGTCTCAGCGCGATGGGGGGCCCGCCGTCGGCGGTGCAGCAGATGCAGGGCGTGATCGCGAAGGCCCGAGGCAAGCTCTCTCCCGTGGCCTCCAGGTGGCTTGCGGGTCAGATCGACCGCGACCTCCGCGACGCTGAGGTGGCCGCTCGGGCAGGCGCCCATTCACAGGTGGGCCTGCCTCGTCACCGAGTGCGCGATCGACGTCGAAGTCTTGCAGGAGGCGCGGCGGCGACAGCTGCAGGTCTTCCGCGCCGCCATCCACCCTTAGCAGGCCGTCTCTGCCGCGGCGGCAGGAGCCATCATGGCGGCCAGGGCGTCGGGATGCATCTCGTCGTCGGCCCCCTCGTGGCGCGCGCAGGCTGGCGAAGTGCTTCGACTGGATCGCGACCCTTCTGCGGTGGTCAAGTTCCTACTGCGACGCGGTGCGCTGGCGGCGAGTTGGGCATGTTAGGCCAAGGGTGCGGATCCCGCGCCTGGAGGCCCCCATCAGCCGCCGCGGACTGAACCCGCCACCGGGCACATCAGACCCCGGCCGAATCGTACTAAGTGGAGGCTGACGGATACGGCCCGTGGAGCGCTACGGTCATTGGCCATCGGTTCGCAGCGGTCGCAATTTTGTCTACAACGACATGAATCTGCACCAAGTGGCAGTTGCAATGCTTGCGGAGGCAACGGCGCTCTCCATCATCGTCACATGATTTGCGGCAACTCGGGGGGCGTGCGCGAGCTCTCGGTTGACGAGCCCTCCTTGCAGGAGGCCAGGGCGGCGTCGTCGGCAGACCCCTTCTGGACGGGGTCTCTCCTTCTCAGGAGGCTGCTGCTTTGCCCAGGCAGGCGCGACGACCGGGTTGGTGTCGCTGCGGGATGGGCGACGCCCCCGAGATTGCCACTGGCGCCGTCAAGTGCGACGGCAGTTGCGAACGCAAATATTACTGGCCAGAGGCGACGGGGGCTGGAATGGCTATTGCCGTGCTCGAGCACGGCCAGGCCGTCGTTGGCCACCGCGGTGCGACCCTTGGCCCTGTCCAGTCATCACCGCGCGCGGAGCTATGGGTGGCTGCGCAGTTTCTGCAGGTGGCAGTCCCAATAATGGTGCTTTACACCGACCACCTCCCCCTGGTTCTCGGCCTCGAGGAGGGCGCCCCTTGGGCCGCCGCCGCGAGCAGGCCAAATCGAGGCGTCTGGCTCCGCATCTGGGCCAGACTCGAGGACCCCGGCGGCTTGGAACCTGTGCGCCCAAAGCATGGGGAGGGCCATGTTGCCGCAGGTGAGCTTCAGCATGGCAACGACTTGGCAGACACCGTGGCCAACCTCGCTGCTCGCAGTCCCTGTCGCCGCGAACTATGCCGCCCACGACCTGCTCAGGAAGGCGCGGCAGGTCGCACGCCACGTCGCCAACGTCAACGCGACCTTGGCGGACGGAACGCCGAAAGCCGACAGGCAGGATGCATTCGACGGAATGTGCAAGTGCAGGTGGGCTGGCCGAAAGAAGCTGCGCGAGCAGCAGTCGCACCTCAGGCGCTCTCTCTCTCTCTCTCTCTCTCTCTCCCACGGACAAGTCGCGGGGGCGCGCGCGGCGTCGGGCAATGCCACGACCCAGGAAGGGCCACAGGGGGTTGGAGCGGCAACATTGGACGATTGGGGGCTGAGGGTTTGTTAACAGCTGCATGTTCGACCGAAGCAGGCGCGATCAGGACCAGAACCACGCCAGCAGCCAGAGCATCACTAGCAAGCGGCAGCCCGATTGCGATGGCACCATCAAGGTTTGCGTCAAGCGCAACAGCGCCAACGACCGCAACATGACGGACGCGGAGGATAGCGATATGATCCGTTTCGAGACACCAGCCCCGCGACGAACGCCGCGCCGAGGGCGATCGCGTGGCTGACCGCGCTGGGGGCTTCTGCTTCGCCCTTCGGCGGCGCGTCGGACCACGTGGAGGAGGCCAGCCCGAAGGCTCCCCGCTCGTTGGCGCTCCGCGCAGCGGCTGGCCGACGCGGGAGCAAGCACGCTCGCGAGGAGACCGTCGGCCTTACCAGGACCTTGGTGGAGCGTCTCCTGCCAAGCGTGTTCGAGGAGCTGTGGCTGGCCAAACAGATCGGACGTCGCCGACGGAGCTGCCGCCCACGGACCGCCGCGGACCTTGCTGCTGCGGTTCTGCCTGCAGCCGGGCGTGGCCACAGTCCGTGTGTGGGTGGAGGCATGGTCGCATGCATCGGTTGCGGCTTGTATTGCGCGAGCTCGTGTTGTGGTTGCACGACGGCATGCAGCCCCGAGGAAAACACCAATGGCAGCAACCGCGAGAGGAGGATCACCAGATTCGTTCAGGGCCGCCATCCAAAAGGGGTGAGGCCCGCTTTGAGGTTCCCAGGCCGCTGCGCTCAGGCGACCCCGAGGCCTGGCTGCAGCTCGCGTGAAGCGCTGGCGCGTGGAGGCCGACTTTCCCCCTCCCCACACGCAGCGTTGAGCGTGCCGTATTTTGCTTGCTTGGCGTTGGCTGCGTTGTGCTCCGCCTGTTCGCCGCCGTGGTCAGTGCGCGAGGCCGCCGCGATAGCCAGCAGCGAGGTCAGCGGCCCGACCTGTCTTTCCAGCTGGGCTCGACCGCCACTCGCGGGCTCCAGGCCAGCCCTCCGTGGCGCTCCGCTGCTCGCGGTGCGCACGTGCTGGCGGTCTGCGCCCGTAGCCTCGTCGCCTCTGCCGTGCTCAATCCTTCGGAAGCCCACCGAATCCTTATGAGTTGCAAGGGTTCCTCAAGATTTCACTACCTAGGAATCCCTACGAATCCCTAGGAATCCCTAGGCCAAAGGGCAGCGCGTAATTGGTGGCTTCCGCCATTGAGTCTGACTTTCCCCTCGCGTGCGGTGCTGTGCTGTGTGGTCGGTCGGCTGCGTCGCTGGGACTTCGTTTTGTCGCTCCTTGGGGTGCCGTGCCGTGCGGACGCAGGCCTGTCAGGGCCCAGGCAAGTTCACGCAGTGGTAATGCGTAGTGGGCGGGGGTGGGTAAGGAGCGGGTCGATGTCACTTGTCCTTGCTAGTGCTTGCCTCGTGTCGTTATGTTCTGAACACCATCAACGCCATCATCGTGATCATTGTCTTCATCCGCATCGTCACCAGCCTCGTCACCATCATCATCGTCATCATCATCATCATCCTTATCATCATCATCATCATCAGCATCATCATCATCATCATCATCATCATCATCATCATCATAAGTATCATCAGCATCAGCATCAGCATCGTCATCATCATCAGCATAATCAGCATCGTCATCATCATCGTCATCATCATCAGCACTGTCATCATCGTATCGTTGATAGTCTTGATCGTCATCAGCATCACCATCAGCAGCATCACCATTATCATCATCACCACCACGACCATCATCATCATTACCAATATCACCACCATCATCTTCATCGTCTTATCATCGTCATCGTCATCGTCATCATCACCACCATCATCATCATCATCATCATCATCCTCATCCTCATCATCATCATCATCATCATCATCAGCAGCAGCAGCAGCAGCAGCAGCATCACCATCATCGCCGCAACGCGCGAGCAGTCATTTTGGCTCGGGGGCTGGCGCAGCCAGGGCACCCGGCAGCGCCTCCATGGACCCCGCAGCCGCGTTTGCCGCCTTCGCGGAGGGAAAGCAGCGGTTGGACCTGGACGACCTCTCGTGCGCCCTGGTGGCCGTGTTCGGCGTCAAGGTCCGCAAGGCGGAGTTGCGCGGTCTCCTGGAGCGCTTCAGTGCACCGGGCCTGCCCGGGGTGGGCCCGGAGGCTTTTGCCGCGCTGGTGGAGGAGATGGGTGACCTTGCCAATCCGAACCCCTCCACACCTCCTCCTCCTCCTCCTCCTCCTCCTCCTCCTCCTCCTCCTCCTCCTGCTCCTCCTCCTCCTCCTCCTCCTCCTTCTGGGAGCCCTAAGGCTCAGAGAAGACACCGGGGCCACCGCCACCGGAAACCCGTCGGGGCACGGGGGGGACGCCCCCTGGGCGGTGCCACGCCCTGCCTGTGGCTCTCGGTGTCGCTCGGCCGCGTAATTTTCCACCGCCCAGGGGTCGCCTCTCCGGTGGGATCTCGGCGGCGGGAATCCAAGTTTCTCCTCTCCTGATGAATGAGACTGATGAGGGGAAGGGGTCCTGAGTTTTTCCGCCGGCTTCGGCTTCCTGGGGCCCTTCCCCAGCCTCGGGGCCGTCAAAGATCGACTCGGATCTGGGCAAGCCCCCGCGTAAGAGACCAGTTTTCCTCGGGACCTCTTCCCTCACGGCAAACGAAGACAGTGCAACACCACCGAGAAGTGATCAGTCTCCTGGGTGCGTTTGCGTCATCATCTGGAACGTCATGTGTTAGAGTTGTGTGTGTGTGGTTTCATCGAGGTAGATAAATTGGGCTGGCTTCGTAGTTCTCATCCGTGCCCTCAGATGGTTCTGGAGCTTCCGCTGAACAACGGGGCAGGACGAGGGGGGCCAGCATCGCAGGCTTCTTGGGGCATTCACAGTTTGAAGGGCTTGCGTCATCTTCATTTTTCTCTCTCTCTCTCTTTCTCTGTCTCTCTCTCTCTCTCTCTTCCTTTCTCTCCGTTTCTCTCTCGTCGCCATCATCAGCAGCATCATCATCACCATCAGGATCATTATCCTCACGCCTAACACCACCACCATCATCATCATCATCATCAGCAGCATCATCATCGTTGTCGTCATCATCATCATCATCACCATCACCATCACCATCATCACCATCATCATCATCAGCAGCAGCATCATACTACTACTACTACTACTACTACTACTACTACTACTACTACTACTACTACTACTACTACTACTACTACTACTACTACTACTACTACTACTACTACTACTACTACTACTACTACTACTACTACTACTACTACTACTACTACTACTACTACTACTACTACTACTACTACTACTACTACTACTACTACTACTACTACTACTACTACTACTACTACTACTACTACTACTACTACTACTACTACTCATCCCACTCACCTCCTCCTCCTCTTCTCCATTCTCCTCCTCCTCCTCCTCCTTGCGCAGTTTTGCGAAGATCCCTGCACTAAGGGCGCTCAGGCTTGCTCAAGAGTGGGCCGCTTTCCCCCGAGGCGGCAGCCAAAGTGGGGTGGGGGGCGGCCTTGCGAACGAGGGGCCTCGTCCCTCGTGCGCCCCTCGTGAGACCCCCCGTAGAAGACCTCCCAGTACGACTAGTAGCACCAGGAATGCTACTGCACTGCGTGTAGCAGTACTGGTAGGATTGTGACAGCCACTACTACGAGCACGGCTACGATTGTTACTAGTACTCCCAGGGCAACTGGCACTGCCACCCTCACCACCAGTACTACTACGATAACCTGCACTACATAGTACGACTCGCTCCATGAGTGTCATCCGTAATACGCCTACTAGTTCTCGTAGTGGGACAAGCGCAGCCCTTTTCCAAGGATCGCGGGATAATCGCCGACATGATAATAAATTCTCTGAGCTCCTCGCAGACTCTTCGGCTCGGCGCTGGCCAGGGAGAAGGGGCCGGCGCCCATCCAGGAAAGACGCGGACCCCCGGGAGTTTTTGCCCATGCCATCCCCTGCTGCTCGGAAGCGAAGCCCCTCCAAGAAGGCCGCCCCCGCAGCCCCGCCCCCGACCAGAAGACCCCTCACACCGGTTCCCGGGGGGGGGGGGGCGAAGCAGCGCCACCGCGCCTCCACGGCCACAGACTCACTCGGGAACCCGGCTCTCGGCGGCGTGCTGCAGCTCCCCTCCCCGGGGTGTCGGGGGCCTCGGCGGCCCCTGCCTCCGGAGAGCAGCCGCGACGTCTGTCCACCCGGCCCGGCCCTCCGAGCAACGCCCGGCCCCGCGGGCGAGCACCTCCGAGCAACGCCCGCCCGAGCTCCAGGGAAACGACGGCGCGCGCGCGCCCTCAGAGGAGAGGCGCTCGTCCCTCGGGGAGCGCGAGGAGGTCGCGAGGCTCCGCCACCCCGCCGCCGCCGTCGCCGCCGATCGTGGGGCTCGCTTCGCCTCCGCTGCAGTTCTCGCCGCCGTCGTCGCCGCCGCCGCCACCGTGCTGTAGTCACCGCCGCCGCTGCCTCCGCACAGCTGGCGCGTCGGATAAAACCACCAGCCTGCAGCAGGAGCCCCGCAGGAAGTCTCTTCCCCCCCGCTGGCCCCAGGAGGCCCAAAGAAACTGTATGGCGCCTCAGGACCATCCAGGATCGGCGCAGAAGTTGCCCCAAGGTCCGCTGCAGCAGGATCTCGTACAGCAGGCGCACGCCTCTGCTCTTGCGCTGTGCCTCGGCGCTCTCCCGCGTGCTGTCTGCCTCGGCCCCTGAGATCCACTGTTGCAAAAACTACCCTGCGATGTATACAACCCATGTGCACCGATTGGAAAGAGACGTAGGCCAATATTGGCAGGAACAACGACAGTGCAGGCGCGGCGAGTTGTTGTGCCAGCTACATGGGATGCGCGCGCGTCGCACGACTCACAGGACAGCGGTCGACAGGACGAGGATTGGGGCCCCAGGCTTGTAGAAGAACGGGGGCAGGAACGACGGGCAGGAGAATGACGGAATTGTGGGGGCGGGGCGCCATCGCGGCAGCAGCAGCATGGAGAAGGCGACAGGGGGTGCGAACGGCAAGCGGTCTCATGTCAGTATGCCGCGAGTACCCCTGGGCTGGCCCCCCCAGCATCCCTCGAAAATGGCGACGTCTTCGCAGATCGCAGCCTTCCACAGATGGCGGAGTCGACTCTGAATCTGCAGTGAATACCCACTATGCACCCCCAGCAGCCCTCAGAAGTGGCGACGTCTTCCACAGATGGCGGAGTCGACTCTGAATCTGCTGCGAATACCCACTATGCAGCGCCCCCCAGCAGCCCTCGGAAGTGGCGACAGTTTCGCAGATCGCAGCCCCCCAGGGATCTATGCTGGCCCCCCCAGCAGCCCCGAAAGCGGCGAAGGCTTCGCAGATCGCAGCCTTCCAGAGATGGCGGAGTCTAACTTGGATCTGCGGCCAGTACACACTATGCTGGCCCCCACGCAGCCATCAAAAGTGGCGACAGTTTCACTTGATGGCGAGGTCTAATGTGAAACTGCGGCGAGTGCCCGCCTTGCTGCCCCCCCCTCCCAGCAGCTCTCGAAAGTGGCGATAGTTTCGCAGATCGCAGCCCCTCCAGGGATGGCGAGGTCTAATCTGAATATTCGGCGTGTGCCCCCTTTTGTTGCCCCCCCCCCCAGCAGCTCTCGAACGTGGCAGCAGTTTCGCAAGACCGCAGCGCCCCAGGGATGGCGAGGTTTAATCTGAGCCTGCGGCGAGTACCCACTATGCTGGCCCCTCCAGCAGCCCTCGAAAGCGGCGACGATTTCGCAAATCGCACCGCCCCAGGGATGGCGAAGTCCAATCTGAGCCTGCGACGAGTGCCCGCTGCGTTGGCCCCCCAGCAGCACTCGAAAGCGGCGACATATTCGCAAATCGCAGCGCCCCAGGGATGGCGATGTCTAATCTGAGTCTTCGGCGAGTACCCACTACTGGCCCCCCCAGCAGCCCTCGAAAGTGGCGACAGTTTCGCAGATCGCAGCGCCCCAGGGATGGCGAGGTCCAATCTGAGTCTTCGGCGAGTGCCCACTATGCGGGCAGATCGCGGCCGAATGCCTGGGCCCCGCTTCTGCGCGTGGGATGGCTCCCGGGGCGCGACGGCGCGAAGCAATGATGCGTCGTACGAGATCGCGGCCGAAGGCCTGGACACCGCTTTGGCGCGCCATCTTTGAAACCAGATCGATCCGCGATGGCTCCTGGGGCGCGATCAGCCGAGAGGAAACGCCAGGCGTGAAAACAAACTGCAGCGCCCAGATCTCATTGGTAGGTGTCTGTCGTGCAGCCGCAGCCGACGTCGAGGCTGCGCGACCTTCCCAGGGGGTACCCCTCTGCATCCTTGCGCCTCTTCGCTCCGCCCCTGAGACTGCCCTCGGTGGCCAGCCCCCGCTCGAGAAGCCTCGACGTGGGCGCCCGAGGGCCCTGCACCCTCCTCGCGCCTCCCTCCCAGACCCCCGACGCCATGCTTTTGCCTCGGGGGTGGACAGAACCCCCAACAGTGACACGTCGATTAGTGAATTGTCCGTATTCGGTTCTCGAGAGGGCGCCGTGGCCGTTATTTTCCAGGCTTGCGGCCGCCAGGTTTGGGCCTCAGGTCGTTTTCACTAAACCACGTTTTACTAAAGGGGGGTCTGTCCATCCCCGACTTTTGCCGTGGCGCGACCCCCGAGGCCCGGACCCGCTCCCCCGGACCGGCCTCTCACCCCGAGTTTGTTTTATTTTGGACGGCCCGGAGGCCCGACGAGGGCCCCCCCCGGGGCCCGAGCGCGGCGGAAGCCCTCCCGCCGCGGCTTTCTCCACGACGCGAGGGGGCCTCCTCCTCCTCCTCCTCCTCCTCCTCCTCCTCCTCCTCCTCCTCCTCATCCTCCTCCCCCTCCTCCTCCTCCTCCTCCTCTTCCTCTGGGTTGCGATCGGCGCTGACTGCAGGCCGCGGGCCATGGGGGACAGAGCGGCGCGTGGATGCATCTCTGGCAGCGGCGCGACGTGGCCGTACCTGCTCCAGCCTGGTCAACCAGAGCCGTTTTGCGGATGCCGGTCCTTTTCTGGGCGTTCGAGTCAGTGCGGTGTCGTCTCGCCGCGAGGCAAGTGCGACGCGAGCGTTCGGGCTGAATCAGAATGGGCGTCGCGTGGATCAGAATATTCACGCGCGCGGCAGAAGTATTTTCAGGAGGATGCTCAAGGCTGTTTTTTCCGGTCAACCCCACCTGTCGCCCAACCTTAAGTCGGGCACGTCCTTCTACAGACGGAATTTTCAAAAGCAGTCAAAAAATAGTCGGGGGACGATTTTGAGAGTATGTTTGATCATTTCTTGAATATGCTTTTGGAGTATTTTTCTTATTCGTTCGTCCAAAATCCCACTGTAGGGGCACAGGCCCGACCTAAAGTCAACCATTATCGTGAGGATGGGGCAGCTTGGCCAGGGTACCCTCGCATCCTTGCCCCTTCGGCGCATCCTTGCCAACTTTCGCTGGCCAGCCCTTCCAGGTACCCTTGCATCCTGCGTAAGCCTTACCCCGCTTGCCCGTCCTCCCGATCGCTGCCGCCGCCGCCGCCGCCCCGAGGCTCTTCGCCTCGCTCGACGAGGCGGGCCGCGGATCGCTGGACGCCGCCTCCTTCCGCCGCGCGTGCGAGGCCGCCTGCCGCCCGGCCGCGGCGCGCGCGGACGAGATCTTCTACGAGATGGACCGCTCCAGGATGCCCTCCCCCTCCTCCTCCCCCTCCCTCCTCCTCCTCCCTCTCCCTCCTCCTCCCTCCTTTCTCCTCTCTCCTCCTCCTCCCTCCTCCTCCTCCTCCTCCTCCCCTCCTCCTCTCCTCCTCCTCCTCCCCTCCTCCTCCTCCCCCTCCCCCTCCTCCCCCTCCTCCCCCTCCCTCCTGTTTCTTCCCCTCCCCCTTTTCCTCCTCCTCCTCTTCCTCCTCCTCCTCCTTCTCCTCCTCCTCTTCATCCCCCATCCCCCTCCCCCCTCCTCCTCCTTTACAATTACACAATCTGAAAATACTCTCCCACTTCCCCTGATGGCGTCCCGAAGATATCCGCCCCCCCCCCCCGCGTACTGTTTTTTACACAGGATTCCCGGGAAACGGGTTTTCGCCTGCGTTTTTTTCCAAAATGCTGCTCTCGCTGAGGCGCCGGCCTCATTTCTGCTCCCGAATCGTTCCGAATCGTGCTCCCGCTGCAGCGTGGGCCTCATTTTCGGATCGGTGTTTGGCCTCCGTCGTTCAGGATGGCGTTCTCGCCCCAGCGCGGGCCTCTTTCTCGCGCGCCCATCCGCCCGCCACCACCGCGCCGCACCACCACCACCACCACCACCACCACCACCACCACCACCACCACCACCACAACCACCACCAGCACCACCACCACCACCACCACCACCACCACCACCACCACCAAAACCACCACGACAACCACGCACACACGCACGCACGCACGCACGCGCACCACCACCCACTACTCACGCGCGCGCGGAGCCGCAGGTCCGCTACGACACGCGTCCGCGGATAGAGAAAATCAACGCCATGGTAAGGGATTGGAGGGAGGGGTAGGACGTCAGATATGACGCGAGCGCACCTAGCTTGTCCCCTCCCCCTCCCCCTCCCCCTCCTCCTCCTCCTCCTCCTTCTTCTTGTGGCTAAAGTTCAACGTGCCGCGCTGCTGCCACATGGAGACCTCTGGGCCGAGGACAGTCTCCAAGTTTTTGGCGCCACTTCAGGGGCCACGCGCCAGCCCGACTATTTCCATATTTCAGTCCTGCGCAGTCGCGGGCACTCCAGACTCAAAGACCAGCCTGGCGCACACCGCTGCTGGCATCCATATCCTGATCATTCTGACCGCGCTCAGGCAGGTGACCGTCCAAGCGTTGGCGCCGCAGCTGTACATCCATCTTGGAGCCCCACCTCGGACACGATGCGTTGGTTTCGGCTCGGACCTAATCACTGGCAACAGACACGACAACAACTCCTTCACGCAGACGCAATGCCTGCTTCCAGCAGCAGTTCACCCTCCTCCGACGGTGCTCGGATACCTAATCCTCATCCCCTTGGCCGTAGACGGCAGGACGCTAGTCACTCCAAGAGTAGGAGCGGAGGCGACCGCCGTGGGTCCACACGTGCACACCGACACCGGCGACACCGCGACCGTCGGGACAGAGAGAGACGGGACGACGACAGAGAGCGCGATCGTGGACCTGAAGGACATCGTGATTCAGACCGAGCACAGCCGCGATCATCAGGACCTTCAGTTCCACGTACAGACGCTCTTGCAGAACGGGACCCTTGGAGAACTGCAGCGGCTGGCCAACAGCAACATGCAGGAGCTAGCGGCGGACCTGCTCCGCCTCACGGACCTGAACACATTCTTCTCTCACCACGTGCCAAACGTGAAGTTGCAGAAGATTTGGACATGTTTTCTACGTTCCCTGAAGGTGAGCTTTCAGCCTCTGGCACGCCAGTGTGTGGCTTACCTACCCCACGAGATCATGATGCTCCTCCTCTGCTTGGCGACCTGGCTCATTTGGAACAAAGGCTGGCGGCACTGCGAAAGGAGCAAGTCGCAACGGCGACGGCGCAACTCACGGCAACGGCAAATGCCCTCATTGCTCAGCAGCAACAGCTCTTCAACGCACAGGTGCACGAGTTCCTGGCGGTCAGCAGGCAGACTGCGTCCCACCTCGAGGTGCACGACAAAAGTATTCACGAGCTGCAGTCTCGAGCAGACAAAGTGGAAACATACCAACAACGAATGCGACAACACATTCGTGCGATGGAGCAGACCTTGGCTATGGCAAAAGCGACAGTCCCTTTTGACGTCCAGAAACTTGCGACTTAGGACCGAGTACCAGACCCTAGAGTGTTCAGCATTGGAGCCCCGAGAGCAATGGCCGGCTATCAAGACGGCGCTGGCTGGATGGATACACGTTTCTGGTGTTCCTGTTGATCAACTTATTCTTCATGGTGATGTGCCTCAACGACGACTCCACTTGTAAATTCAAGAGGGCGCGACTGCCCCTGCTCGAGCCCTGGCACTCTCTCGAGCACTCAAGACTTCAGCTGGCTTTCGTACTGTCAGCGGCTTCGACACAGGAGGTACCACTACTCCTGAAGACGTCAGCGCAGGCAAGAACGCCAAGAAGGTCATATGTGAGCTCCAAACAACACTCTTCCAGCGCAACATGCAGGGCGCATTCGCAGAGCACAACGTCGGAGCGCAGCGGGCCAAGAGCATCGTCACCTTTAATGCAGTGCCCCTCGTTGTCGTCGAAGTTCAAGGACCAGACGAACCTTCCAAATAGCGATGGGGCATGCCCATCCTCGCCCGCGTCGAGATTGACAAGCAAACATCGGTACTGCATTTGGACAGGCGCTCGCTAGCGTGGATACGTCTGCGCGGTCTATTTAGCAGACGATGGTCGCCATGGACATCTGTCCAGGAGCGGCGCAGTGGCACTATCATCTCTTGGGATGCCAGGGGCCTGCTTTGTTACAAGCCTCACCGTCGCAAAGCCAAGCTTAACAAGCTCGCCCTGTTCACGCGACAGAGAGCAGTGATTCTACTTCAAGAATGCAGAGGGACGCTGGGTAAGCTGACCACTGCGCTGGCGGCCTACCCGCACCCGCGCGCGATCTTTTTTCAACCATCTCTCGCAGAAGGCTGGTGGCACTGCATTCTTGGCCCCCATGGACGTTCGAGGCCAAGATGACCCACGTGTTCGATGCCAACATCAGATTTTAGCTCCTGGCAGGGGCGCCCTCCACACCAGCACAAATGACATGGAGAACTTCACCATGGAGGTCATGAGCGTTCACAACTCTGAACTGGATGGCCGAGCGCCGGACAAGATAGGGGCTAAATGGAGGGAACTTGTTGGTTGGAACCTTCAAAACCCCGCTACGAGAGCGTTTCTGGCTTCTGGTGACTTTAGCGTCAAGTCGGGCCCGATGCGCAGCTACCTGGACCCCATTTCGGAAGGCTTCATCTCTGGCTCTGTCCCTTCAGAACGTAGTCGTGGACCTCAGCCCCTGCAAGCATTTTGTGAACGTCTCTTCTCCATGCTCGCTGAAGCATCGACAGCCGGCTCCGCGCGCCATTGCAGAGACGCGGCATCCGCGGCCACATTGGATAGACTATTTATCGGAACTCCAGCTCACGTTCTGCTAGATGTCGAAGTTTCAGCGGAGTTTGACATTGGCGCGGCCGCCGTCTCTGGCTCCAGGCTCAGCGACCACGCGCCGATCGTTTCTCACCTTCGAGACCGCGCTCGGCATGATCAACAGACCAGTATTATTGAACATGTATTTCGTGACCCGCGCAACCGGGAGATCTTTGGGCAACTTCTCGACGCGGCCCAACTTGATCGGTTTCCAATCGTGTGCCAATGGCGCTGCATGAAAGACTTCATGACGGAGTCTGCTCGTCAGGTCCGCGACGAACTACGGCGACTTCCGATCTCGGCCACAGACTCCCGTGCCATGGGAGACCGCGTCATCATCCTGAGAGCAATAGCCAGCTGCGTCTGGCGCAGCGACATCTACACGGCCCAGGAGTTGAAGGCCACCACCGCCGACAGCGCGCGCTTCCTCCACGTGGCCAACGGTGCCGTTGAGCTCCGCGACAGGCCGGGGCTCGCCCTCATCGCGCACGCCGCTATCTGCGAGTTTGGACAGATGGAGGCCAGACTTGCTGAAAGCAGGGCGCCCAAAGGGGAGGGGGCGGCGGTCGAGGGTGAGAGACGAGCGGCGAGGATGCACGAGAAGCGCGCTACCCTCTGGGCCCCCAAGGCCCATCGTCTCGTTCTCGCAGGGGTCAGACCCGAAAGCCTGGGAGAGACCCCGGCTGAGCCCAGGGGTCCCGAGCAGATTGCATCCGCTCTGACCTCCCATTGGAAACCCATCTTCGGCGCCGAAGCAGTTCGGGGGGAGGCTCTGCAGGAGTGCCTCGACAAAGTTGCCCCCCGCAAGACCTCCGACCTCTTAGACTTCCAACTGAACCCGAACAAGGACGCGCCCTGGCCCCTGGCCCCGATCAATTTCCTTGCGCGGCATGGAAAGCGCGACCCGAACTACTACCAGTCCCACATAAACAAATGACAGACCTGCACGGCGGCCATTCGGCACCCTTCGAGCTCAATGATGGCATTCCGCTTTTCTTCCCAAAGGTTCGGAGACCGAAGATGCCCAAGGACGCGCGCGGTCCCCAGGGAAGCTTCGTCCGCTCAGCCTCAGGAGTACGGACACTAAGATCATGGCTTCTGCCGCCATCTTCCAGATCCGTCAGGTTGCCCAAGAGCGCACCCACGAGGCTCAACAAGGTTGCATCCCAGGACGTAACTTCTTGTCCTACATCATCTTGTTGGACGCCGAGACCCGCAAGGCCAGCATCATCCCTGATGCAGAAGGGGACCTCCCGATCTCCGCTGCCTACGATGTGGAGGCTTTGCGCGAGCTGCTCAGGCTGCCGCCGAACAGCCTCGGCCTCGCTGATCTGAACGCCCTAACATGTGCTCGCCATTGCCCCGTCGTCTGTCTCATTGCTTGGATGGGCCAGCAGCTGGCGCACCTCATTTCGCATTATGAATCATACCTGGCAGCGTGCACTACGCAGCTTGAAAGAATATGCTCAAGACAATGCTACGATAGTTCGCTTCACTGCAGGGAAATATTCAGCGCCCTGCTGGCAGCGCCCTTTTTCAATCGCGCAATTCATGGAAAGGACGAGGCTTCCGCCCCCCCCCCCCTCTTCCCTGATAAGCACAGGTGGCGCACGGCGTTTCGTGCGGCGCGTGAGCGCGGCTAGCTCTGCAGGAAGCTCGCCGCCCAAACCCGCAGCGCATCGTTGCAGGCGCACTTCGAGCAGCCGCTTTTCCTGACTCATTCCCTAAGACGCTGGGTAAAAGGCTTCTCGCGTGGCAGGTCCCGACTCCTGGGGGGGGGGGGGGGGGAGAGGCGGTGGTCGGTGGTCGGACGGTGGGATTTGTGTCGGACCTGCCTCGCGAGTCTCAAGTCTGCATGGCAATGGAGTGTCATCGAGACCCTCTGCGGAGCGTGGGCGACCACGCTCAGACTGCACATGGGCAACCCTCCCACGAGCTGCATCTGGGGCAGCGCAGAGCCCGACGAGATTGCACACTATTTGCGCTGCCCGAGAATGTATCATTTAGCAATGCACTTTCCCTGGAGAAGACGCCATTTTCCTGGCTCGCCGAGTCTACGGTCGGGCCTGGGGGTGGCGTCTGACTAGGGGCGGGCGGGATCGGAACTCTCACGCGAAGAATGCCTTGGGGCGGTTGCATTGACATTCCATATGTACCACAAGGCGAAAGACCTTGCTCAGAAGACTCCAACGTCTCTTGAGCGCGCATGCGACATTCGAGGTGCTGCAAAGCTGGCGCTCGATCGGTGAGATGCTCTCATCGTCACTGTGCTCTGTCTTTCTCTCTGTTCAGTGGGGGGTGGGTTGGCCAGTGTGCGGGAGTTGGGATGGGGGGGGGGTCGATCGAGGCTCCAGAGGCGTCGGCATGTTGCGGTCGATGACTCTCCCGCAGTGCCCTGTGCCTCTCGGCTCTCTCTTGAAGGAGACGGGGGCCCGTCATCCAGTGACTGGCTCTCTCCTTCCACCCTCTTTTATGCCCTCGCTTGCGAGGTGGTCCTTTTACATCTGGTCTGCTTCGAGCGCCATCTTTTGTGGGCCCTGCTGGTGGCGGAAATGGCACTGGGTTGCGACGCCCCTCGGGATGCCGAGAATGAACACGCGCCACCCAGCAGGGGCCCGCTCTCCCTCCGTCGATGCGTTCGCGTCGACCGAGTTCGAGGCCGGCGATCGGACGGACCTTCTTGGGTACGTCGTCTCCTCCTCCTCCTTCTTCTCGGGCCCCCTAGGGCCCCGGGGGAAACCGTGCAGGCGGGGCTGGAGTGCGCACCCGGAGATCCTTCAGATTAGAGGCATGGCCCCTGAGCGTCTCCATGGCGACTGCGGGGGCGAGGATGACTGAACCGATGGATTCCGGTGTCCTGGTACATCGAGATCCATCAGTTCAGTATTCCTCGCGTCCCCAGTCGCCATGGAGACGCTCGGGGGTCAGATCGTTGAGCTGAAGGATCTGAGGGGGCGTAATGAGGGGGGTGATGACCGCGAGCTCTCCTCCATCCTCTAGAAGAACAAGAACGCCATAGGCATCAACTTGTGGCGCTCTGGGCGATCTCTTGGATCCGCGCTGGGCCCCCCCCCGGCGGCGCCTCTGGTGATGCCCCTGGCGCGCTCCGCGCGCCAGGGAGGGGGGTCTGGCGCCGATCCGAGAAATCCGCGCGGAGCGCCAAGAGCTTATGCTTATGTAGTTGTTTTTGATTCTGTTCATCGTGAGCTCCCCCCCTCCCCGCCTCCCCCTCCCCCTCCCGCCTCTCTCATGCTCTCCTCTCCCTCGCCCTCCCTCCCTCCGCCTCCTCCCCTCTCCCTCGCTCTCCCTCACTATCCCTCTCCTTCCCCTATCCCTTCCCTCTCCCTCCCCCTCCCTTCCTTCTCCCTCTCTGCCTCCCTCTCCCCCCCTCCCCTCACGAGCGGCGAACGTATCCATATCCACGCCCACGTGGTCTGGGTTCCGGAGCGCAGTCCCGCGGGCACGCGGTCGCACGGGTGCGCCCCGCGCGGGACAGCCACGAAAAAACGGGGCCCAGGGGATTGGCTGACGAGTTCGTGAATTCGGATATTTCATTCGCCCGCGAGCACCGATAGGGATTTTCCCGGCGGCGCGCCGAGGGGGAGGTAAGAGGGGGCAGGCCTGCTCGGAAGGCGACGGGGCTGGTCGGAAGCTCTCTGGCCTCCTGAAAAGCCGTCTGTGGTTCCGGAGCAGGCCCAGAAAGCTCTTCAGAAGGCCAGAGGCCTTCTGAGCCGTCTGAGCCAGCCTGCTCCGCCTTGCCCCCTGGGCGAAGTTTTCGATCTTTGTTTTAAGATTGTGAGATCTGGGGTGGTTTCCACCAGCTGCGTCTCGTTGAGATCGCTCTGGGAGTGCAAGAATCGTACCGAGCGGCGGCTAGAGACCGAGATCATGACCCGAAAGCCAGACGACCTGGACGGGAGATACCAGGGGTAACGTCAGAGGGGGGGGAGGTTGGCTCTATGGGGGGGGGCATCGACCCCCAATCGCCAATTCATCGCCGACACATGGAGCTGAAAGCCCACCCTGGCCAGGTACGCGCGGGGTTTCGCTACCAGGTGGTCCATCGCTGATCTATCGGGGATGTGTATCCGACTCGAGCTCGATGTCTGAGACGCGTATCCGATGTGAGCTCGATGTTTCTCCCCCCCCCACCCCTGAGCTGGTCCCCCCATGCCGTCCCACCTCAGATATGGAGCTCGAGGAGCCTTTTCCCGCATTGACCTCTGGAAGCCTGCCCCAGGACAGTCAGAAGTCGATCCGGAGTGACGAACTGGCCAAGGTAAACCTGGGGAGAGAGGATCAGGACCGTTTCCGCGCGGATTTTGCATGGGATAACAGGAACCGAGCTGGCCCCTTGCGCATGAAGCCGACGACGGCGACGACGCGGGCGAGGACGCAGAAGACGAGGACGGCGGCGGCGGACGGTGAGATGGACCGCTCCAGATTGGCGCTTTTATGTTAGATCCGGGCAGTTGCACTTGCACAGCACGTCTCCACCCCACCCGGCCGCCTTCTCAAAGTCGTCGTCGGCCTCGGCGTCGTCGTCGGCTTCGCCGCCACCCTCGCCCCCTGAGCCCGGGACGGCATGCATCGGGGCGAGGCCCCGCGGCAGGCGCTCCACCGAGATCGGCGGACCGAACGACGACGCCGAAGCCGACGACGACGACGGCGACGACGCAGCCGACGACGACGCCGAAGCCGAAGACGACGTCGACGACGATGCAGCCGACGACGACGACGCCGAAGCCGACGACGACGTCGACGACGATGCAGTCGACGACGACGACGACGACGACGACGACAACGACATCGAAGACGACGACGACGTGGACGACGACGACGACGACGTCAACGTCGACAACGACGACGACGACGACGTTGACAACGTCGAAGTCGACGACGACAACGACGTCGACGGCGATGACGACGATGACGATGACGATGAGCGTCGACGACGACGACGATGACGAAGCTGAAGACGACGACGAAGCCGATGACGACGAAGCTGACCACGACACCGGCGAAGTCGACGACGATGTCGTCAGAACGACGACGACGTCGACGACGTTGACGACGACGACCAGGAGGAGAGTGGGACGACCAGGACGACGACGACGACCAGGAGAGGAATGGGGCCAGGGAGTGCCTTACAGCTATGCGCAGGAGCGACGTGTCGCCGGAGGGACCACTGGTGCGAGCCCGCTGGGCTCCCCCCAGCGTTGCCCTGCGCGCGTTGGCCTGCCCCCCCCACCTCCGCGGGGGCTCCCGAAGCTGCGCACAGAAGCTCCACCCCCGACGTCATGCTGTCTGTTGTGGTTTTCATGGCACGACCCCCGGAGGTCCAAACCCTCCCGAGTCGTTTTTTGACGGTCCCGAGGGCCAGGATGGGCCCCCAGAGGCCGAAGAGAGCGAATAACCTCCCGTCGTGATCTTCTCACGGCGCGAGGGGTTCGGGAAGATCACCCTTGTCAGGGTCACTCTTGCGTGTGAGCGGCGCCTTCAGGGGCGGTCACGCTGGCCGACTTCGTCGTCGGCGTCGTCGGTTTCGTCGGTTTCGTCGTCGTCGTCGCCATCGTCGTCGTCATGGGCGTCGTCCTCGTCGTCGGCGTCGAACCGTCAGGAGCGGGGCGGTCACGCTGGCCGACTTCGTCGTCGTCGTCGGCGTCGTCGTCGTCATCGTCGTCGTCGTCATGGGCGCCGTCGTCATTGCCGTCGTCTTCGGCGATGGCGTCATCGGCGCTGCCGTCGCCGAGCTGTCGAGGAGCGGGGCGGTCACGCTGGCCGACGTCGTCGTCGTCGTCGTCGGCGTCGTCGGCTCCGTCGGCGTCGTGGGTTTCGTCGTCGTCGTCATCGTCGTCGTCGTCATGGGCGTCGTTGTCGTCGGCGTCGAGCCGTCAGGAGCGGGGCGGTCACGCTGGCCGACTTCTTCGTCGGCGTCGTCGTCGGCGTCGTCGTCATCGTCGTCGTCGTCATGGGCGCCGTCGTCATCGTCGTCGTCGTCTTCGGCGCTGGCGTCATCGGCGCTGCCGCCGCCGAGCCGTCGAGGAGCGGGGCGGTCACGCTGGCCGACTTCGAGGCCTACCTCGCCGGCGTCGGGTGAGGGGGGCGGGCCGTCTCTCTGCGCTGCTCGGTGCCGGCGGCCCAGGGTGGCCGCTCGCGCGCTGCGACGGCGACGAAGCGGAAGTCGGCGGCGACGACGACGCGGACGACGACGACGACGACGACGACGACGACGACGACGGCGACGGCGACGGCGACGGCGGCGACGACGACGCGGACGACGACGATGGCGACGGCGACCCCGACGACGGCGACGACGACGACAATGGTTGAGACGACGATGACGAGGCTGAAGAGAACGACGAAGCCGACGACAACGACGCCGACGACGACGCCAAAGTCGACGACGACGAAGCGGAAGACGAAGTAGAAGGCGGTGACGACGAAGCGGACGACGACGACGACGAACCTGACGACGACGGCTTCAAAGACGACGACGACGCCGACGTCACGAAGCTGGAGACGTCGACGAAGCCGATGACGATGACGCCGACGACAACGACGCCAACGTCGACGACGACGAAGAGGAAAACAGTGGCGACGAAGCGGAAGACGTTGACGACGAAGCGGACGCTCACGACGACGACGACGTCGAAGTTGACGACGGCGACAGCGACGACGACGGCGATGACGACGTCGGCGACAACGACGACGACGACGACTGCGAAGCTGAAAACGTGGACGAAGCCGACGACGACGCCGACGACGTCGACGCCAACGCCGACGACGACGACGAAGCGGAAGTCGGTGGCGACGGAGCGGGAGACGGTGACGACGAAGCGGACGGTAGCAACGACGCGGACGACGACGACCACGACGTCGACGACGTCGAAGTCGACGACGACGACGACCACGACAGCGACGACGACGACGACCACGACGCCGACGAAGACGACGACGACCACGACGGCGGCGGCGGCGGCGAAGACGACGACGAGAATGGATGACGGAGCCGATGACGACGACGACGACGACAGCGACGATGACTGTTACGACGTCGATGATGTCGAAGTTGACGACGACCACGACGACGACGACGACGACGATGGCGGCGACAACGACGGCGACGACGATGACGACGACGTCGAAGTCGACGACGACGCTGTTTACGACAGTCTCGATCCCTATGACGATGACGACGATGACGACGGCGACAGCGACGACGACGACGAGACTTCGGTCGAAGTCCAAGGGCCAAGGTTCGAGACTCGGGGATCGCTGCTCCGGAAGTTTCTTTCGCGTGAGGTTCCTCGCCGCTGGGCGCTACTTGGATTCACACACCGAAGTTTTCCAGGACGGACGCTCCTTCATCGTGAATTCCCGAGTGGGGCCACCAATTTTTTGTCCTTTCGAACCCCACAAAGTCGGGGAGAGGAGAACCGAGCGCGCGCGAGAATAAAGTTTACCCCCCCCCTTCACCCCTCCTATTTTTTTGATCCCCGTCCAGCAGGATTTATTTGTGGAGGGGCGCGGGGGCCGATCTTTATATTCCACGGGGAGAGTTGCGAATCGCAGTTGCTATCATATCATGTTGACTAGCAATAGCATCAAAAACGCTGAGCATGGCCATGGTGGTCTCACCACACCAGCTTCCGCAATCACGAGCGTGTGGCTGGGCTGTGGGATTCTCACCAGTTCAGTCTGCCCACGTTACGGACGCGCGGCAGGGCCATGGGATTCTCATTTTCTTAGCCATTCCCGAGTCAGGAACGTGCGGCAGGGCCATAGGGGGGGCCGATTGGATTTTGATGTGTTTTTCGAGCAGGCAGAGCATTGGAGTTCAGTGAGTTCCATTCTTAGCGCACCCCTTACACGGTTCGTGGCCTTTCCTCCTCCTTCTCCTGCTGCTCCTCCTCCTCCTCCTGCTCCTCCTCCTCCTCCTCATCATCATCATCATCATCCTCTGCCCCCCAAGCTGCCCAGGCCCGAGCTTCCCCGAGTCTCCGAGACTCCAAGCTTTCGAGCCTCTTCGAGGCGCCGAGCCTCTTCGCCCCAGGGGCAGCGATAGGGGGGATAGGCATGCCGAACCTTGCCAGGAACGTGCGGATTCACGATCGGGCGCGCATCGCCGATGCATCGGCGATGTATCGCCGATTCCAAGTCGATGTTCCCCCCCAGTGCCCATCCCCCCACATCGTTGCCCCTGACTGCGTCGCGAGCCTCAGCGATGCCCCAGCCCGCCGAGCGCGCCGCGGCGGCGAGCGCCCCCGTCGGGGCCTTCAGGAACGTCGTGACCCCGAGCGCATGGCCAAGCAGAACGAGGAGATCCTCGACAAGCTGTGCCAGTCGAGCGCGCAAGGCACGAATGCAGCGATGACGACGAGCTGCTATTTCAAGGCCGAGAGCGCCTTGTGGTCAAGCAGCGCCCAGCAAGCCGTGCTCGACGTGGTGTACCAGGGCGGGTCCTACAAGAGCATCGAGCATGGCCGCATCTTCAACGAGCAGGACAAGAGGCGCATCGAGCGGGCAGCGGCGGCGCGAACCGCGGAGAGCCGCCCGAGGACCTCTGCGAGGTCGTGCCGGGCTTCAGGGCCAAGCTGCAGGAGCTCGCCAAGAAGAGAGACATGGAGCTCGGCGCCGAGAACGTCCAGAAGCTCACCCACGGCTCCTACACCGAGCGCGTCGGCCGTGCCCTCTCGAGCATCCCCGCCGAGCTCCTCCACCTCCAAGAGCTAGCGCTGCCGCTCAACAAGAAGTTCGAGCCCGTCGAGCACTGGGGCGAGGGGCCCGCCGGCGCTGCTGAGCAGCTCTACGCTTTGATGCCGAGCAAGGCCCGGGAGTACGTCAAGCGGTGCAACGAGACCTCCATGGCCTCGATCAGTGGCGACGGGGTCGCCAGGGCCACCGCGCGAGCGATTATCAAGTGGCGCTGGTCCGTCAAGAAGACAGCCGGCATGAGCTGCGAGCTGCAGGGGCGGAACTGCCAAGACAAGCGCGCTTAGCGGGACTATTCGAAAACCGTCAAGCAGCAGGAACACGACACAATGTTGCTCGAAAACCACATCAAGCTGCATTTCGAGAAGTTTGCCCAGATACAGCCCGAGTGCGACAAGCTCTTCACGAACAAGCGCGATGGCGAGAGGAGCCAGGCCGACGCGAAGGCCGAGCCAGAGCCCGCCTCGTTCATGCCCGTGGACGCCTGAGAGCTTGGCGCACGAGCTCCCCGAGCCAAGCGCCCCATGTTTTTCTCTGCGAGGGCGCCGTTTCGAGGCGCGCGCTCGAGCCCCATCTGATTTTCAAGTTCCAAGAGAGCGCTCGAGCACGCGCGAGTGGCGTTCCAGGCTGCGGAGTACTATTCCCCCCCCTCTCGCCGAGTGATCCTCGATCAAGCGTCGAGGAATTCAGCGGGCTCGACCCTCCATCCTCGGATCGATGATCCGAGATCTTGAGTCCGAGCATCTTCGAGCACCTTGGGTCCTGGATCCGAGGGCCGCCAAGCTTGGGCCCGGTGATCTCGGGTTCGCGATCCGAGCATCGAGGATCGAGCCCGGGCGACCCAGGCGATCCTCGATCGCCGCCGTCGCTGTCGTCAGGCCCAGGCCGCCAGCAAGGAGGCTAGATCCTCGGATGAGGGATCCGAGATCTTGGTTCCGAGCATATTCGGGCGCCTTGGATCCTAGATCCGAGGATCGCCAAGCTCGGTCTCGAAGATATCGGCTCCGCGATCCGAGGATCGAGTAACTATGGAGCCCCGGCGACTTCGTCCTCGGGCCCGCGCTGCCGTCGAGCATGCTCGACCATTCATCCTCGGATCGAGGGTCCGAGATCTTGGTCTTGAGCATCTGCGAGCACATGACTCGAAGATCCCGGGCTCGCGATCCGAGCATCGAGGAGCGAGCCTCGGCGATCCTCGAGTTCACCGTCGCTGTCGTCAGTCCCATGCCGCCATCAAGCAGGCTCGACCCTCCGTCCTCGGATCGATGATCCGAGATCTGAGTCCGAGCATCTTCGAGCACCTCGGGTCCTGGATCCGAGGGCCGCCAAGTTTGGGCCCGATGATCTCGGGTTCGCGATCCGAGCATCGAGGAACGAGCCTCGGCGATCCTCGATCGCCACCGTCGCTGTCGTCAGGCCCAGGCCGCCATCAAGGAGGCTAGATCCTCGGATCGGGGATCCGAGATTTTGGTTCCGAGCATCTTCGAGCACCTTGGATCTTAGATCCGAGGATCGCCAAGCTCGGTCTCGAAGATATCTGGTTCGCGATCCGAGGATCGAGTAACTATCGAGTCTCGGCGACGCCGTCCTCGGGCCCACACTACCATCGAGCATGCTCGATCCTTCATCCTCGGATCGAGGATCCGAGATCTGGGTCTTGAGCATCTGCGAGCACATCGGGTTCTAGAGCCGAGGGTCGCCACGCTTGGACTCAAAGTTCCCGGGCTCGCTATCCAAGCATCGAGGATCGAGCTTCGGCGATCCTCGAGTTTACCGTCGCTGTCGTCGGGCCCATGCCGCCATCAAGCAGGCTCGATCCTCCATCCTCGGATCGAGGTTCCGAGATCTGTGTCTCGAGCATCTGCGGACACATCGGGTCCTAGATCCGAGGGGCGCCAAGCTTGGACTGGAAGATCTCGGGTTCGACATCGGAGGCTCGAGGACCGAGCCTCGGCGATGGCGCATCGCCCCCCCCGCCGTCCTCGGGCCCTCGCTGCCACCGAACAGGCTCGATCCCCTATTATCCTCGGATCGAGGGTCCGAGATCACGCGAGCACCTCGGATCCTAGATCCGAGGGTCGCCAAGCTTGAACTGGAGGATCTCGGGTTCGACATCCGAGGCTCGAAGACCGAGCCCTGGCGATAGTAGATCGCTCCACTGGTCGTCCTCGGGCCCGCGCTGCCACCGAGCAGGCTCGATCCTCCGTCCTCGGATCGAGGATCCGAGATCTTGGTCTTGAGTATCTGCGAGCACCTCGGATCCTAGATCCGAGGATCGCCAAGCTTGGACTCCGGGATCTCGGATCCTCGATCCGAGGGTCGAGGGTTGAGCCTTGACACCTGGCGCGCAAACGCGCGCGCACACGCCCAAACGCACCGGCGCGC